CACCCTTTGGAATCCCTTTTGCCCAATGCCCTAGGCTGGTAGATTGTTTGAAAGACGTGGAAGGACATATCCTCGCCTAAAGAAGCTCATTCTAAAGGATGTATGGGCCCACTAGTTGGCCCCAGGCATTAGGGGCTAGTTGGGTTGGGGGCCAACCAATACAGTCTAAGAACGGCTCGAAAAAAAGGATGAAGGGGGAAGCGAAGGCCAGATTTCAAGATGTACTCACTGAAGGCGACGCAACCCTGCCTAGGGAAGCAAGCTCCCTCATTAGGAGAGGGGGACAAAAGTTCGATGTTGTAGGGGATCCTATACTTGTCTCTAAGGATGGCTAATTGGGTAGGGTCGATGCTGCCCCCAACCCACACCGTTATCACCTCTGACAACGTCCCCGATATAGAGGCACCTCAGCTTGCCTCAACAGATCTCCTAAGGTCGGTCGTACTAGTTATTTGGATTCCTAATTCCTTAGCCACATTGGTCACATCTACACCGACCCCAGAAAAAGTAGAAGAAGCCATAAATGCAAAGAATACCAAAAATTTGAGAAATTAATTATTTACTGGTCAGAGAAGGATTCACAAGAGCACAACTGAAGATAAAAGAAGGATGCTCAAAAGAATCTCATAAAGAAAAGAAACTTGAAGGAGTTAGTAAATTCAAGAGAAAAGAGTGCCAAGATTCGTGCAAAAGGTAGGAAAGGAACCCTCTCTAAGATTCTTGTCTTTTATAGGCAAACCCGCTCAACCCTGGCCGTTAGATCTCAATCCGGGTCATCCAACCATTGATTAGCAAGTATTAACCTGAGCCACCCACGACTTCTGACGCTTTGTCTTCAAAGGACTAGATTTGAACCTCACTCGCACGCGCCCTTACGTATCTAAGTATTGTTAAAAAGCATGGGAAAACAATCATTACTGCGCATTAAAAGCGGCAGCTATTACGCGTATTGGAAGTTGCACAGCACCAGCTACCTTTCTTGGGAAAGCACTACAACATCAAATCACTAGGGCTCCATAATTTGAAATGCTTCGTATTTCTCAAAATTGTTGAGAGATTAATGTCCTCTTAGCTGTCAAAATCAAGGCTATTTAACACATTAGACCTTATCCGCTTCAGAATGCATGGAGACACTTCAAAATAGAGGATGTAGTCTCGGTACCTAGGAGGGTCGATGAATCAATCGGACGAAGCTCTCAAAAAGTATATTATTATTGTGAAGCTCAACCTCAAAATTACTTTCAAGTCCACGCATTACAAAAACAATCATGCATAGACTTGGGGGACTATTGTTACCCCCCGAAATCAGAGGCTCCAAGTCAGCACTCCACGTGGACATCCACGTACTCTCTGTAGGAAAGTGGACATAAAGCCAATTAGCAAGTTAAGATCAACAAAGAATGCAACTATACGAGGTCGTGCGAGTGCCGAGGCAGTAGTCATCTAATGTCTCTTCCAGCCAAGAAATGAAGATCTACCTAAGGCCCCTCAAGAGGAGGGCAGAGGTCCCTTATGTCCGAAGTACTAAAGCACCGAACCTCAATCACATCAGATATCCATAAGCCCAAAGCTGACCTCAACGTATGCTAAAGCCAACGTGGCCTCCCAATAGATTCGAAGATCTCGCAGAACTGATTGATGGGACGTTCGTAATAAAGTGTCTGTAGCTTTAACATGTCAGTGTGTCAGCCTATTACTAGCTCAACTGACCCTTTGTCAAACATTGAATACTATGAATGGACAGTGATGTGAGTCTTCGGTCTAGGAGATGTCGCTCGTGGGTATGATCGGATGGTCACCACGTCAGCTAGATTAGTATAAATAACCTCTCTTTGTA